AAACATTCTTTTCGAGAAAGGTTTGTTGGAACCAATTCCAGATGACAAGCTGACAGAAACTTTTGTACCAAAAGACGAAACAAACTTTTCACTGTTAGCAAGACCAAAAGTTGTTCCAGACAAAGTTCTAGTACAAAAGAAGTACACAATTCCAAAAGGAGTTGGATTGTTCGGATACCAACCTGAACCAGAAGAACTTCCAATGAGGTTGCAAGAACTTCAAGATGCTATAAACAAACTTCCATTGAGACATCCAATTGACGTCAAATTGTATTGGAGAGCATCTGAGTTAGGTCAGAAGGTTTTATATGAAACAGGTTGCTTCGACGATGTTTATAAGATAACAGGAGAAGTTTCTCAGAAGATAAGAGACTCACTTGAATTTCCACAAACTGGACCAATTGGTTGCGACAAGTTCGACTCAGATGAAAAGATATACTATGTCGACCTTAACGCTGCATACATGAGGTTTGTCCAATATATTCCGACTGGAATTCCAAACGAAGATGGTGAGTTTCCGGGAAGGAACTATACAGTTGGAAAAGTCATACAACAACTGTATGATATTAGGAAAGCTTCAAACCCCAAACTTGCAATGACACTCAAATTGCTTATGAATTCGACATGGGGATATTCTTAAGAAACCTCAAGAGATGAAGAGTAAACATTATGAGAAGGTCGACAACTTTGTTGAAAGGTTTTCTCCTTTTGTTTTGAAGTACGAATTCACTCAAGGTCAAAGTGGCTTAGTAACCACATTAAAACCTATTGTCGAACATTGGTCTTACCCTCAGTTCGCAAAGGCAGTCCTTGACAACTACAATGAGTTCTTCTCCGAAGTCAAATCGAAAGTTGTGGTTTACTATGAGAACATTGACGCACTCATGACGAACGAAGAAGGGTACAACAAACTCATTGAAATGGGCATGGTCGGTGAAAAGATGGGTCAATTCAAATTGGACAAATTTTCACCGAAGTTCATGTCCTCTCCAAGCGTAAGTATTGGGGCATACTTGAAGACGGCACAGAAATAAAACATTGCATGAAATAAAAAATTTTATTCGAATTTGAATTAAAATGTGGGAATTCTTGGGAACGGGAAAGGCTTATTTACTTGAGGAACAGGTAAAGGTGGTGGAGGTGGAGGTGGTGGCAACCAGTCCATTTTATATTCCTTCCTAGCTAATTTCCGTTTAATTTCATGGTCGCCCTCGGAGTCTTTGAATCGGACAGGTCGAGTTACACCATTCTTGGTCTCAAACTCATATATAACCTGTTTGTCTGTATTTTCATCGACTATGGCACGAGACACGACATTGACCAAACGGACAAAAAGTGTCATTTCGGATGGTCACGAAGCAGCCAATCGCATTCGAGCACTTCGAAGAAGCCTTACGTTCCAAGGGAGAGGGTGTCTGGTGCAAGGCAGAGGTCATGAAACTCTACGAGCAGTACATCCTCAATGCCTGGGAGGACAAATCGTCCTTGGATTGGCATTCTAACCAACTCCTCTGGGACGACCTCCTACGCAACTGGGATAACGAAAGAGCCCAATTCAAAGGTCGGGAACTAATTTTGCAAATTACCCTTAATTTAACATACTTATCCAAATAAACACTAAATTTACTTGGGGTTTCCCCCTAAAATAAAATTTTTTTTACTCTTAGAACCACTCGAGGTTCTCCTTACGGTTGTTGAGCTTGTCACCGTCAATGTGTCTGACCTCGTCTTCTTGTATGGATTTGGAACCCATTGCATACCGACAAGCTTCCCATGGAAATTGAACCGTAATTCCGAAGGTTAAGGTTCAAGTGTCCCAAGTTGTTGAGGACTGGGGTAAGAACCTTGCTGTCTCCTTGTTCGGATTTGGTATGGTAGGGTTGGGAAATTTCGTAAGCGTCATCGGCAACAAGGGTTGCCCAAACTTCCTCTTCTTCGTGTTTCTCTTCTTCATCTTCTTCCTCTTCTTCTTCGTGTTTCTTTTCTTCCTCTTCTTCCTCGACAATTCTTCTTCAATTTGGTACTACGAAGTACGGTGTTGCATGTTTCTGTCCTTTCCGAGTACCTTCCAGATGGCGTCTATCTCTTCGAAGAAACGGTAGATGAGTCTGGCAAGGTCTCGGTTTCTCTCTCGTAATTGCGCAAGGTTTCCGTGAAATCGTTCAGGCATTTCTCATTGGAAGCTTGGTTCATGAGGACATCGGCTTTGAGATTGGTCATCTCTGTCATAAGACTACTTTGGAGGTCTTAATGGTGTTTGTCAGATGAGCTTTCAAATTCATAATTTGAAGTTGAACTGGGCGCTTGTCTGGCAACCTGAAAGGACATCTTCCATTGAGTTTGGCTTCGGTGCTTGTTCGGACATCGAAAAATGAAGTGGTTTGAGAATGACGGTTTTACTTCAAAAAGCTTGTTATGACAGTTATGTCATACAACAAGTTTAAAATAATATCTTGTTCTTCTTCTGAACGTTTGTTGTCTCTTCCGATAAAAGTTTCGAACATGAGAACCAAAAAACGTTTTTTGAGGAACCGAAAGAGTTCAGGCAAACGTTCATATTCCGGATATGTTGGGAGCAGTTCGAAACATCTGAGCTGACTTTCGGACAAAATTGGGACAATGTCAACAAATTCATCTTTGGTCAGACTGCTTGAAGGTAAGTCCCTTACATGTAAGTAGCTCTGGTAAAGTCTTCTCATTTCTGCTAACTTTTGGAGTATAGCTTCGTAGTTTAGAAGTTTTAATTTTAATTGTCTTATTCCACTCTTGACATCTAAACGGTAACTATCCATGAGGTCAAGAGTAGCTTTGGTAGCTTTAAGTGGAGCTATCTGTTCCTTGACTCCTGCAATTTTGGTTGCAATTGTGATTTGAGCTCCTTCAAGTTCGCCGTCTATGTCGTTCTCAACGTCTTCAACTATGGCTTGAAACTCTTCATCGGTCCATTGAGATTGGTGTGGGACGAATTTAACTTGCTTCATTCAAAAAATGAAAAAAAATGTTTTTACTCAAAGCGTGCCATATAGATGTTTACCGAGTAGTATATATGACGGGTTGGATGTCGCCTTCTGAGGTTATGTAGAACGGCTGACCAGAGAAGTGAAGGAGAGACTGAATTGCCAATTTCATATGGGGTAGGGGGTTCTCCTTGTTTGGTATTTTTATCCAAGGACGTTTGTTTAGGAACTTAACAAGAGCTTCTCTTTTGGCATCCTTTATGCCATCGTAGGCTGTCCCGTCTGGTACTGGAATTGGAATTCCAGTCGAAGTCTCGAGCTGAAGTGTAGACCTTCCAGAAATACTGGTGAACTTGACCTTGGGCTTCATTACCTTGCGCAAGTAGTCTTTTACGCAGTCGTTAATTTCAATTAGGTAAATTGCCTCGTCAAATCCTTCTGGCATTCCGAGTCCTTCCATCCGACAGGAAAATATTTTCCGGACAAAGGGAAAAATTTTTCCCGACGACAGGAAGAACTCTTCCAGTTGTCCGTCCGTAAACCATTCAAATTTTCGAAAATTGAGAACTTTTTGGTCGAACTTCAGGAAAATATTTTCCTTCCGACAGAAAATTTTTCCTTCCGACAGGAAAATATTTTCCTTCCGACAGGACACAAACGAATGTCCGACGTCCACCACCCAGTCCATTCCAAACCAGAAGAACCGAAAGCTGCAGAACCACAACAGTCTCCTCAGCAACCTCAGTTCCAGCAAGTACCTCCGATTTACTACCAATTTCCACCTCAAGGTTACTACCCACCACAAGGCTTCCCGAACTACCCTCCTCAGCCTATGCCTTACTTCCCCAACCCTTGGATGTTCCAGCAAGCTCCACCCCAGCAATTCCAATTCCAATCTCAATCGAAGAGAGACCAAGACTTCGAAGAAGGTCTGAACCGTTTACGCAAAGAGTATGCACAGCCCCTATGGAAACGACAGGCTTTCAGTCTCTTCCCTCAAATCGACCGATTCGACTCGTACCACAGATTCGGTTCGTGACCGTGAAGACTACCTCAAGCAGTCTGAGAGACTCTTCATCCTACAATCATTTACAGTTGGAGCTCTCAAGAACATGCGCAATTACGAAGGTCAGACACCAGCTGGAGACCGCAAAACAGACGTACTCGCAAGAGCCGTCCAGCTCGTCAAAACAAAGACTGAGATAGTCGACTTCATACTTGCAGCTTGCCCATACAAGTAAAAAAATAAACAATTACGAATTAAACTTTTTACTCTTTCTTTTCTGAGTTGTTTAGAGCTGGTTTCTCTTGTAGGAACCTTTCGTACTCTTCCATGGTCATGTAATTGCGAATTTTGTACGCAATTCCAGGTTCGTTGTTTTTGAACCTGATGTATGTAACGCTTCCATCCTCCTCAGGGAAGTAAGCTGCTAACATCTGACCAAGTTTTCTCGGTGACTCGGAGCTCATAAAAATGTCACTTTTTAAACGTTAAGTTTTTAGTCTTATTTTACCCTTTGTTTACCCTTTGTTTGTCAAGGTAGTATTGGAGTGCAATTTCTCCAAATTCTCTGTGTCGGAGTTCTTCAGCATTTTCCAAGGTGTACCTGGAGAACTCAAAAAAGTTGTCAAGAAGATACTGCCATGCTGCTCTTCTGAGTTCGTCGGTATTTTGGAAGTGTTGCACCTTCGAGTCTTCGGACATGAAAAAATGACACTTTTTCTATTAAACCGTTTTGACATTTCTCATGAGTGAGTATAGTTCTGCCGAACCATTGGAAGAGAAGAAGTACCCTTGCTGGCAAAAGACAAAAATAGTTGCCTTAGTTGTCATTGCAATTGTACTCGTAATTGAATTCATTGTACTTCTCTTCACGTACATAAAACTCAGCAATGGTATTTGCTTTAAGAAGCTACCATCTTACTAAGACTAAACATTATTTTTATTGAATTCAGCACAAAAATCATGAATTTCCTTAAGATAGAAAAAATAAAGTTAGTTTTATTTTTATTTATTTTTTTATTTTGTATGTAAAGACAGATATGTCAACAACAGAGAACACAACAACAGTTATAGTCCATGAAGCTATAAATGAAGAATATGAGTACATACAGTTTAACAAACAACTCCGTCTCATTCGTTCGGTCAAAGACGATATGTACCAAATGCAAAGTATTTTGACAGCATGTTTTGCTCCAGATACTAAGAAACCACAAGACTGGTTTAGGAACCAAAGCACTATTGAACTATTAAATGAAGCTGAAAATTCGACTACGGATTTTCTCGTAGTCGCAAAAACTCGAGTAGGTAAAAAACCCCAGTCGCCAAAACTCTATGAAAATCGTGAAAAATTGCCAAACGGTTTGAGAGGATATTATGTACATAGACTTCTTGTAAATGCTGTTGCAATGTGGGCTTCGCCTCGTTATGCTTGGTATGTTTACAGACTTCTTGACGAAATTCACAGACAAGAACGTGAAGATATGGAAAAGAAACTTCATGCAAAAGATGAAGTCATTGAATCCAAAGACAAAAGCATTCAGAAAAGAATACCACGTTCGGTACCAAAAGGAAAGGAAAAGAACTATAAGTATATGATTTATACTGAAGAGATGGAAAATGAAGAAGACAGAGATATGGTTATGTTGCATTTAGTCAGAAGAAACAACAAAAGCTTTTACGACCTTGCTAAGATTTACAAATCTGACAGAAATTGGTTCTATCGCGAAAACTTACCGATTTCAATGACCCCAAATGAAGATGTGAAACAAATAGTTCAAGATACGTTACCTCAAACACACTATGATATGAAAGGTTGTACAATACTTACCTTCAAAGAAGATTTGCCATTGTTAAAGGAAAAAATAACAGAGTATTTGACAACTTCAAACAAGCAGAGTAAATGAACTCTTTATTTTTCAAGCTTGACTTTTTACAATTTGAACTTTGTTCGCGTAGATATGAATTCTGAAAGAAGTATGAGGGTCTTGTATGACTTTGTACTTCTCCCATAGTTCATGTCTGTCAAACTTACCTGCCATGGACTCTTTCATAAGTTCCATGAAATCGTCTTCGGACAATCCGGGGAAAAGTATTATGTCAGTAAGTATTCTTTTAACATCCTTACTTAAACTCTTTGCTGTCTGTACAAAAATGACAACTGAGATGTTTAAAGTGTCTGAGCTTCTTAAGAATTCGACACATATCTTGTTCTCTTCTTTAACAAAGGATGAGAGGCGAATATCATCTAAGATAAGAAGACATCTATGAGGGTAAGTCTTCCAATCGTAAGATTGCAATTTCTTCGAAATGTATCTATCTCTTTCTGTTTGTTTCTGAAGTGTTTCTTCTCTAATATTCTCTGCATTTCCTCATTTGGGTCTTTAAACTTAGAATTTATATACTCATTTATAGCATTATACTTCAAAACTCTTCTTTGTACTTCTTTATCCAATCTAACAACTCAGTATCCTTTATACATACTAACTTAGACTTCTTTATAATATCTTTGAACGAATTGACGGTTTGGTCAAATTGACCAGAAGTACTACAAATGACAACTAACTCATAGAATGGGTTTCTTCTCATCTAGTTCTTGTTGTTGTGCAGCCATTTAAGATAAGTGAAAGTCTTACCCGACCCAGGTGGTGCGATTAGACCTGTTATACCATTCTGAGCAAATAAGAACTTGTCATGTATAGGCTTTATCTGAGCATTTTCTAACTTCCTTGTTCTTGTTTAAAACATTCTCAATTTCTTGTCAATGTCAGCAAACTTTTTTCTAACATATTTTTAGAAAAATTAAAATTTTTATCTTTTAGAAAATGTCTAGCATTTCGCTATCTATATTCGAGACAAACTTTTTGACAGCAAAACATCTGTCGACCATAAAATCTTACATAGTGTAAACAAGAAAGGTGAATTTGTTCTAAAAGTTCTGTTTCTGGGAATATGACAAGAACCATAAACATTACATTAAAGAGCAGTCTTAAAATTTGTCAATGACAGACTTGTTGACAGAGATGACGCCGATTGGAAAGATGAAGTCCAACAAAAGTTCTTAGAATGCCAAAGAAGACACATCGTGCTCTTGAAGATGAAATAGAAAACAGAATAGATGAGCTATTAAAGGACAAAGAACTTTTACATAAATATGGTTCGAGAAATTTGACATAACTCCACCAGAAAAGAAGAAGAGAGAAAAGAAAGAAAGAAAGTAAAAGAAGAGAAGAAAGAACCTGAACCAGTTCCAGAGAAAAAGAAATTTGACATGTAAAAATAAAATTTTATTTTTAGAACATTTCTGGGTCAATGTCAATGTTCTCTTCCTCTTTAGGAGTAAACACTGGCTTAGACTCTAAAATCTTTTTACCCAATTTACCTTGAACTTCAACTATCTTAGACTCATAATATTCATAGTCGTCTGCTTTCTTTGGTTCATAAGGTATAAAATGTATGCTTTGCCTTCTTTAAGGTTTGAGAACCTTCTGTCAAAACTTTTCTTTGACTCTAACAACCTTCTATGTCTAAGTCTTCAAATTTTCGCACCATTTTTAGTCACAATAGCAAACTTAACTGGTTCGATGTTCCAAACTTTGCTGAATGAAGACTTTTCAAAAGTAGAAGATAAACATTCAAATATGTGAATGGGTCTAGTTCTTCTTTAAGTCCTGACAGTACTTGTTTACTGAGATGAATTTTGCCATCTTTTTCTATCGGATAAAAAAATATTTTTTTTAAAAATTTACTCATAAAAATTTTTCTTTGTATATACACCATTCTGTACGTCTAAAAGACTTTTGACATTGCCAAGAATGTTCGTTTAGACGCTGTCATATAACCATATTCTTGACAATATTGTTTATACGAATCGTACAATGACCTTTCATCTAATGACACAAAGTCAGTTTCATCTATGAACAGTTCATATACACTCTTGTTTGCTTCTAACAATGTTTGTCTCTCTTCGGTATGTGGAATTTGTCTTGGATTGAACTTAGAAATATCTAATGTCATAAAATATGAGAACAAGTGGTTGTAAAAGTCAGATGTCAAACATTCTGACAAAGCGTCAAAATATTCTGTATCTTGCATATGAGAATCTGACGTTCTGACAACTACATATCTTCTGTCAGAACTTTCTAACTTCATCGGAACAGCATTGTTTGAAAACCATAATGAAGTTTGCAACATTTTCACAAACTCTTTGGTCTTTATATTTTCTTTCAACAACTCCAACTTTGTCTGTTATAAGACTCTTCAAAGCATCTGAGTTCAAAAACTTTTGTTGTACTATACTTTGAAGTTCATTGCAACTATAAGTTTCATATTCTCTATTGAGGAGTTAAACTTGCCACAGATGTTTTCTAAGTTTGTCATATTCGGGTTCGAATAGCCTCTAACAGTTTGCATAAGATATCTGTAAAGAATGTGTTCTTACCAGTTCCTTTTCCAATTATAATGAGAGCAGTTTCATTTTTAGCACTTGGATGTTGTAAGATGTTTGCAAACCAACATAAGATATACTCATAAACCTTTTCGTTTCCATTGCATATAATTTCTTTGACATGGTCTAACCAAGCTTCTATAATATTTCTTTCCATTCTACTTGTTCGTATTTATATCCAGTGAAGATAGAATAGAAGTTTGGAGAAGGTGTATAGAACTTATACCTCGAACTGAAAAATTTCTAACTTTGACAATAAGATATCCCAAGCATCTAACATCTTCATTCCAACTTGTACAACTTTTATTTTCTTAAGTTTCTGTCTACATTCTTGTTCTGAAACTATTGTCGC